CTCTAAGGTCATTATTTTGCCTGTGGCCTGGACCAACAGGTTTTTACCTAACCCAAGTCCGCACCGGGTGAGCTAGGATAGCTTGAGTATGGCCTGGACTAAAACCTGGTCCATTTGGCCCATTGAGGGCTAACATAAAAAAAAAAATAAAAAAAAAAAGGAAAAATGATTTACAAAATTAAAAATAGGCTCGAAACTCAAATCTGTTAGAGCTTAGATAGTAGTCAACCAGCTAGCTTGTCTAGCCAGCGCAATTGAACAATTTTTGGCACTGAGCCGGCTTGGCTCACAAATGGATTTGAGCACCAATTTCACAGGCTGGACCTGGCCTTGAGTTAAACAACTATAAATATATCTAATTTGCTGAGCTTTGCATTATTTTTATTATGAAGGAGTTATATGGATTGGGTGCACGAAGAATTGGTGTATTTGGTGTGCCACCAATAGGATGTTTTGCATCACAGAGAACTTTGGCAGGAGACTTCCTCAGAAACTGTGCAAAAATTTACAATGAAGCTGCAACATTGTTAAAACACAAAGCTCTCGTCACGCTAAACTCTTTAAACCACAAGCTTCCCATGCAAGGATGGTCTACATTGATGACTACAATCTCCCTCTCGATTCTCATTCGCAACCTAGAAAATATGGTAACTCATCTTTTGGCTTGCTATTGCAATTTGAAAAATTATTCTTACTTTAGTTCACCGTGTTATAGGTTAGTGATTGCAATTTTCTTCATTAATTAGTGCCGTTTAGTAACACTTACGTTTTCAGTTTTCTGTTTATATTTATAAAAATTTAAAAAACTCAAATAAAAACTTGTTTTGGTAAAATTTTGATTTATAAATCAGTGGTCTGTTTATAATTTGGCCAAAAATGAAAACACAAAAAAATGTGTTTTCGTTTTGAGTTTGAATTTTTTTTTTTTCCACCTAACACAAGCCACCACCCGCTACCATTTTCCACCACCACCACCCACCCCACTCCCCACCGCCACACCACCTGCTACCACCACTCACCACCACCTGCCACCCACACTCACCATCACCACCCACCACCCACCTGCCACCCACTCACCGCCACCAACCACCCACCCTCGTCGCCGCCACCACCCACCACCACTACCATCACCCACCACCCACCGCCACCACCACCCGCCACCACCACCCACTCGGCTACCACCTACCACCCGCCACCGTCACCCACCACCCAACCCACCCACTACCACTACCACACCACCACTACCCGCCACCTATCCACCACCACCTGCCATCCGCGCATCCACTACCACCACCACCCACACCCACCACCACACTCGCTACCACCTACCACCGCCACCGTCACCCACCCACCACTACCACCACACCACCACACTACCCGCTACCTACCCGCCACCCACCTGCCGCACCACCACCACCCACACCCGTCACCATCACCCACCTACCCACCCACCTCACCACCCACCTTACCACCCACCATCACCACCCACCGCCGCCATCTGCCACCCACCTCCACCATCACTCTACCACCGCCACCGCCACCACCCACTCGCTTACCACCCACCACGCCGTCCCGTCACCCACCCACCCACCACCCACCCACCACCACCATCGCCGCCACCTATCCACTCCACCACCCGTGCATCCGCACCACCACCCGCCGGCAACCACCCACTCGCTACCACCACCACCTGCCACCGTCACCCACCCACCCCCCACAACCACCACCCCACACCTACCCGCCACCACCACCCGCCACCGCCAACCCACCTGCCACCACCACCAGTACCACCACACCACTCGCTTACCACTACCACCCGCCACCGTCACCATCCACCCATCATAACCACCCGCCACCTACCGCCGTCAACCTACCCGCTCACCACCATCCGCTATCTGCCACCCACCTGCCACCCTGCCGCCACCACACCCACTCACTACCATCCCACCGTCACCCACCCATCCACCCACCACAACACCCGCCACCTACTGCCGCGCCATTACCACCCACCTGCCACCACCTGCCACCACTGCCACCACCACCCACCACCCACCACCACCACCACCCACTCGCTACCACCCACCACCTGCCACATCAACCCGCCACCACCACCACCACCACACCCACCCGCCACCACCAGCTACCTACCGTCACTACTTTCCACCACCGTCTTCTGTCACCACTTGCCGCACTTGCCATTTCTCACTCTTTTTTATATTTTTAAATTTTTTTAAACATTTTGTCAATTACCAAACGCGTTTGTAGTTTATGTTTTTATAAAAATAAACAAAAACCAGTTTATAAAATTTTTGTAAATATAAACTGAAAACATAAACGTTACCAAACACACCCTTAATATTTCATGTTTTGCAATTGATTACGCAGGTTTTGAAATTTCAAACAAGGGTTGCTGTGGCACTGGTATTGTAGAAGTGGCATTTTTGTGTTCATTCACTTGTCCGAATGTGTCCGAGTATGTGTTTTGGGATAGTTTTCATCTAACAGAAAAAGCATACAGAATCATCGTCCATCAAATCCTTGAGAAAGACATCCTCAACTTCATCTGATCAAAGCGTTAATATTCCCCTTCTAATTAATATAGTCAGCGGTTTTTGAATATCTTGTCGTTTTCAGGGCATCTATGAAATTGCAATGGCATTGTGAATGCCTGATTTTTTAGTATTGGTTTTTTTACTGCAAAGAAATGTTAGAACTAATCATATAGCTCTCGTCATTTGATTATGATTTATGAGTGTAAACCATAGCTCAACTTACTTTTCCCTAACATTCATTGATGTAAACAATTGAATTACCAAACTTTCTATGCCAAGAAGTCTATTCTTTGCTGAAATTCATGTTCCCATCTGATATAAGTAATCCACATTATGCTACCCCAATGTATATGAATTTGTAAAGCTCAATTAAGTTGAGCTGATATTTTTCAGCATGGATCAAAGTTTGGATCAAGCGGGGTAAGGACTAGAGTAAATCTAACAATATTTTTAATTATTTTTTTAAATTTAAATAATAACCAAAAGAACTTTTCCATTTTAGGAGTATCTTTTTTATTCAAATATTATTCATTTTTATTTAAAATGTCAAAATATTATTATTTGATTGGATATATGATCTTCAATAACAATAACGATTTGAAGATTTTTTTGGTTTATTTATTTTAGATAAAGTGATCGTTTGGGAAATTACTATTTTAGTAGGTTATTTTATTTTTTTAAATATTTTAGTAGGTTAAAATTTTTATATTTGGAAAGATGGTTAAATTTTTTTATATTTAGATGTGATGTTTGTAAAAAAAAAATAAAATGATTATGAATTTGATGTGATATTTTATCTTATTAATTATTTTAATCTATTTTATCTTTTTTTCAATTTTAATAATAAAAAAAATCCAAAATTCACTTGCCAAACAGCCCCAAAAAAATATGTCATATGATTACAAAATTAATCTCTCTTTTTTTTTTTAGGAGTATCTTTTTTATTCAAATATTATTCATTTTTATTTAAAATGTCAAAATATTATTATTTGATTGGATATATGATCTTCAATAACAATAACGATTTGAAGATTTTTTTGGTTTATTTATTTTAGATAAAGTGATCGTTTGGGAAATTACTATTTTAGTAGGTTATTTTATTTTTTTAAATATTTTAGTAGGTTAAAATTTTTATATTTGGAAAGATGGTTAAATTTTTTTATATTTAGATGTGATGTTTGTAAAAAAAAAATAAAATGATTATGAATTTGATGTGATATTTTATCTTATTAATTATTTTAATCTATTTTATCTTTTTTTCAATTTTAATAATAAAAAAAATCCAAAATTCACTTGCCAAACAGCCCCAAAAAAATATGTCATATGATTACAAAATTAATCTCTCTTTTTTTTTTTAGGAGTATCTTTTTTATTCAAATATTATTCATTTTTATTTAAAATGTCAAAATATTATTATTTGATTGGATATATGATCTTCAATAACAATAACGATTTGAAGATTTTTTTGGTTTATTTATTTTAGATAAAGTGATCGTTTGGGAAATTACTATTTTAGTAGGTTATTTTATTTTTTTAAATATTTTAGTAGGTTAAAATTTTTATATTTGGAAAGATGGTTAAATTTTTTTATATTTAGATGTGATGTTTGTAAAAAAAAAATAAAATGATTATGAATTTGATGTGATATTTTATCTTATTAATTATTTTAATCTATTTTATCTTTTTTTCAATTTTAATAATAAAAAAAATCCAAAATTCACTTGCCAAACAGCCCCAAAAAAATATGTCATATGATTACAAAATTAATCTCTCTTTTTTTTTTTAGGAGTATCTTTTTTATTCAAATATTATTCATTTTTATTTAAAATGTCAAAATATTATTATTTGATTGGATATATGATCTTCAATAACAATAACGATTTGAAGATTTTTTTGGTTTATTTATTTTAGATAAAGTGATCGTTTGGGAAATTACTATTTTAGTAGGTTATTTTATTTTTTTAAATATTTTAGTAGGTTAAAATTTTTATATTTGGAAAGATGGTTAAATTTTTTTATATTTAAATGTGATGTTTGTGAAAAGAAAATGAAATGATTATAGATTTAATGTGACATTTTATCTTATTAATTATTTTAATCTATTTTATCTTTTTGTGAATTTTAATAATAAAAAAAATCCAAAATTCACTTGCCAAACAGCCCCAAAAAAATATGTCATATGATTACAAAATTAATCTCTCTTTTTTTTTTTAGGAGTATCTTTTTTATTCAAATATTATTCATTTTTATTTAAAATGTCAAAATATTATTATTTGATTGGATATATGATCTTCAATAACAATAACGATTTGAAGATTTTTTTGGTTTATTTATTTTAGATAAAGTGATCGTTTGGGAAATTACTATTTTAGTAGGTTATTTTATTTTTTTAAATATTTTAGTAGGTTAAAATTTTTATATTTGGAAAGATGGTTAAATTTTTTTATAAGTTATATGGATTGGGTGCACGAAGAATTGGTGTATTTGGTGTGCCACCAATAGGATGTCTGCCATCACAGAGAACTTTGGCGGGAGGACTCCTCAGAAACTGTGCAAAAATTTACAATGAAGCTGCAACATTGTTCAACACAAAGCTCTCAGTCATGCTAAACTCTTTAAACCACAAGCTTCCCCACGCAAGGATGGTCTACATTGATGCATACAATCTCCCTCTCGATCTCATTCGCAACCCTAGAAAATATGGTAACTCATCTTTTGGCTTGCTATTGCAATTTGAAAAAAATATTCTTACTCAGTTCACCATGTCTATAGGTTAGTGATTGCAATTTTCTTCATATAATTAGTATTTCATGTTTTGCAATTGATTATGCAGGATTTGAAATTTCAAACAAGGGTTGCTGTGGCACTGGTATTGTAGAAGTGGCATTTTTGTGTTCATTCACTTGTCCGAATGTGTCCGAGTATGTGTTTTGGGATAGTTTTCATCTAACAGAAAAAGCATACAGAATCATCGTCCATCAAATCCTTGAGAAAGACATCCTCAACTTCATCTGATCAAAGCGTTAATATTCCCCTTCTAATTAATATAGTCAGCGGTTTTTGAATATCTTGTCGTTTTCAGGGCATCTATGAAATTGCAATGGCATTGTGAATGCCTGATTTTTTAGTATTGGTTTTTTTACTGCAAAGAAATGTTAGAACTAATCATATAGCTCTCGTCATTTGATTATGATTTATGAGTGTAAACCATAGCTCAACTTACTTTTCCCTAACATTCATTGATGTAAACAATTGAATTACCAAAGGCGCTGTTTGGGAACATGAGGTTTAGGCTATTATAGCCTCAATTCAAATTTCAGCCAAAAAGCGTGAACAGTTCACGCGTGGTACAGCTAGGTTAGAAACGGGGGGTGGAATTACCATTTTGCCCTTTGACTATTTCAAAGGGTGTGGGTTATACACACAGCTGAAACACAAGTGCCCTATTCTTATCTCTTTCGTTCCGTCTCTCACACCGACTGTAGCAACACCAGTGCGCGACTGATCTATCTCCGGCGGACCTCTGCCTTCCACAGAACACGACGGACGAAGAACTACGACAGGTAAATCACCTGAACCAATTATACATGGGTTTGTTACCTTTGTCGACTCGGTTTGAAACTTTTTCCATTCCGATCTACGACATCTTCCTCTGTTTTCACCCATAATGATGGTATTCGGTTGGTATTTATGCCGATTTGGTGATGATCTGTCTTTTCCCAAATATAAATCGCCGACAACATTTTTTTTTTTTTTTCTCGCCTTAGTTAAATGTCTTCCACAGACCCGCGAAGGTTTTTTTGTGAACATTTTTTTTGTGTTGAGCTACCCAGGTTTTTCCCCCATGATTTCCATAATTACCATTCACGCTTGGAGTGATGTAATCATTGCTTACGTTTGGAAAAAAAAAAAAAATTTCAAAACGATTTTTTCCATAATTATCATTCACAACCCAGTTTTTCCCATTTTTTCCCTTGTTTTTCCCATCCGAATGATGTAATCCCCCTTGATTTCCATTATTATCATTCACAATCCACTGTGTTTTTCCCATTTTTATCTATCCATCTGTGTTTGTGCATCATATATGAAATGGACCAAAATTTTCAATAATTTTCTGTCAAACTGTGTTTATGAGATGGAGCAAAAAAAAATTTCTGTGAAGCCTATCAATTAATCTGAATTAAGGGTACAACAACATGTTGGGAATCTTCAATGCTGTTCATTATTTTAATCTGATTTCCTCATTTCGTTATTTCTGTTCATTATTTTACCTATTTCATCATGACTGTCTTATTATCAAAATGCCTAAACCTTATTATCTTCTTGTAAAATGCATAATGAATTTGCTGGTTATAGTTCACCACCATATATCAAGATGTTAAAGTAAATAGATTCACCACCATAGTTTTGAATTTGCAAAATGCCTAAACCTTATTATTTTCTTGTAATTTTGATGAAAGTAAATTACACTTGTGAGATATTAATTTAAGCACAAGAGCTACATGGTGGGGAAAATGCTGGTTATAGTTCCTTGTACATATTGTTTATTAATTAAGATGAATTGTTAATAGAATGATAAATATTAAGAATATTCAGTTAACGGTTTCCATTCAGTTATCAATCTCATTTTCAATACTAAGTTCACTTCTTTGAATTATGCATAATGATTTTGTACTTCCACATGTGTTAGTTCTTCTACACTGCAATGCTCTGAACTTGGTCACATATGCTAAATTTGCTCCAGCAAGTGATAGGGTTAGAGAATTGGGATAAGACTATTGAATTAAGTTCTTATACTAACTCAGTTTTTCCATGGACTTTCCTATATACTGGCTGCCTTATTTATTAAAAACAAGAACAAAATACTAATAATAATCAGTGGAAATTGGGTCGTTATGTCTTGTTTTGAGTGTTCTATTTTGGTGTTGGCCTTGTACGCTTTACGTATTCATTTGGATGGGGGAAAAAATTTGTTATTACAATTGGTAAAGCGAAGACATGAAATTATTTTGTTTAGTGAAAACCAAGACATGAAAAAATGTGTTATTAGAATTGGTAATGCACCCATTTCCATGGCCCAGTTCATGTTCTTAGACTACATTTGTAGTTTCTAAATTATAATTTATAAATACATATATGGCAATTGGTATCTATTGGTCGAGTGGTTCATTTAAGAGTTTGTTATTTCATATTCAAATAATTGTGAAAATACTCTATTCTATTTAATAGCTCTTCAATATAAATAACAACAACATAGGTGATATGTATTGGTTCAGTTGTTCATTTAAGAGCTAAAATGATCATGTCGGACCACGCCAAACTTTAGATGGCGCATGTTTGTTGAGATAGAATCACATCAGATCAGTATTATTTATACCAAAGATGAACCTGTTTTATCTGTAAAGTGTAATCGTAAATTCTAAAAATCACTATTTTTACTAAATATTTGTTAGTAAGAAACAGCGGATGGCTTCGTCTATGTCCACTAGCACGTCAACAGGGCCACGACGCATGTGTGCTTGCGGCTATGGCCATTGTTTTGTTAAGATTTCCAGATCCCACAAAAATCCTGGTCGTGCATATTATGTTTGTCCTCGGCCTGTGGTGAGTTGTGTAAAATATGTTATTTGAATCTCCATTTATTGGCAAAATTGAACTTCATTAGCTAACCACAGTTATGTTTGTTACTCATCAGCAATTTGTAAATTGGATTGGTTGGTATGATGAATCAGGGAGACCGAGCCCCGACCATGACTCATCCCCAACCGAAGTCATGCAGTTACGGGCTGACATCGTGCGAATTTTTAATACCTTGCGTGTCATGAAAACGATTATTTCTGTGTTGTGCATAACGGTTATCATATTATTACTGCGCATGTAAAACGATGTAACAACATCGCGTATGTACGTTGGATGCTTGTCTAACTAGTAACTGAAGTAACAAAACTGGACTACTGTAAATGCAACTTTCTATTTTTAGTTATGTTCTACTTTTCTCCTACATTCCAGTTTAATTTTGCATATCATATGTGCCTCTGACATGTTGTCTATTTTCCGTTTCTAATTTATTTGTGTAAAATGTGCACACTACCTTCTACCGTAATTAGTTCAATGGCGGCAACACGCTCCTCCCCTCGATCACCATCGAAACATAAAGGTGTTGGACATTTGCCTACTGAAAGGTTGCCTGATTACATTAATCTTTCACATAAAGCAACTTGGGACAGTGTATCAACCGAAATTTTCTTAGAGTGTGTGCGGAAGCAAATTTTAGCGGGACGTAGGCTAGGTACAACTATCTCAGTTGTCGGGTATAAGGAAATTTCGGTGCAATTTGCTCAGCGCATAGGCAGACGTCATGACATGAAACAGTTCAAGAACAAGTACCTTGCTTTGAAGAAATAGTGGCAGGCTTGGAATAAATTGATGGACACCAGTAAGGGTGTAACTAGGATTGGGTTCGACAGGTCAACTGGATTGTTCACCGCGTCAGACGAATGGTAGGAAAATTTGAAATCGGTATGTATTGGAATATATATATACTTGTACTTTATTGTTCAATTCATATTCGTAATTTATTTGGTTGTTTGTTACTTTACAACTTTAATTTGGGATTCTAATTGTTATTTTTCTCATTTGCAGACAAACAAGCTAGCGTACAAATTCAAGACAAAGCCATTGGAACATGAAGATTTGATGCAGGAAGTTTTCACAGGTGCAACCGCGACTGGGAAACATCATTAGACCCCCAGCGAGCAAGTTGTGGACATTGCTGACGGTGAATCCGATTCTGCTGACTCACCTGGGTTGTAGCCATTTACTGCGCCATATGAACCGGTTGTGGACTCACCACCACCCTCCCCCATTGTCTAGGTAGATGAAGCGGAGCAAGGGTCAAAGCGCAAGAATGGGGCGAGTTTAAGTGGAAAGTCGAAGAAGCCGTCCACTGGCGTATCAGTGCTTGCAAACAGTTTCAACCATCTCTCCGAGGCTGTTCGTTCACAGAAGCACCTTACGATCAAGCATGGAACTGGTGCGTCTCAGAAGTATGGCATTGAGGCATGCATGCAGAGGATTATGGCTATACCTGACTTTCTCAGTACGCCTCTTTTCCACTTTGCCTGCATTGCTTTGGAGAATGCAGATTACCGTGAGATACTAATGTGTATGCCTGATGATGGTAATGTGGTCGGTTGGCTTGCGGCATTGAAGGCCTCCAAAGGACTGTGAGAACTGTGGGGATAATGGAAACAATTGTGGGTGTTTGTGGACATGACTGGTGCTGTTTTTTTTTTTTTTAATTTTTGCTTTTGGCTAGCTTCGCTTATTAGTACTGTTAGTTAATATTAATGTTTTGGGCGAATGGATGCGGACGTAATGTCCAACATTTTATGCAGTATTGCTTCATTGATGCGTGGTTTGTGTTGACTATACCAGCATTCCTAACTACAATTGTTCAATTTCATTGACTGCATTCCTCTTTATGGTTTCTAGGAAAATGTGGATGTATGCATAGGTGTTGCCTGTCTATTATTTTGTGCAGTAGTTTATGCAATATGATAAGACTACATGGTCAACGTAATTAATCTTGTGAAGTGTGCATTGTAGGGTTCAACACTGTTGATATGTGGAACGGTGAATATAGCAATCTGTATCGAAATAATGATGATTACATAATCGAGCAAGCAGAAGATCAAGAGGACCAACAGAATGATGTAATCGTTGAAGCTGCGCGACATACAATGGAATATTACGTAAAGTACATGGAGAAGATCCTATGTCGAACTTCAATTTTAACCAGTCGTGCATGGATTCAAGAATTATTTGATGGACACTTGGGTAGGGGTGAAGAAAATTTGCATATGCCTCTGTATGTGTTTAAAGCGTTATATCATACATTACGACGAGATTTTGGTTTACGAGTACCTAAAAGACCTCATGGATTACACATTGAAGAAAGTGTTGCCATGTTCATACATACCTTGGCCGGCTACCAAAATCGAAGCATTCAAGAGCAGTTTCAGCACTCGGGAGAAACGGTTTCTCGACATTTTCATGCAGTGTTGGATGCAATGAAGTTGTTCACTGAACAGCATTGCAAGCCCACCAGAGCTCAAACTAGTAGGCATCCCAAATTGCGTTCAAGAGGCAAATACATACCATTCAAGGTAAGAATGCTGTAATTGTTGTTAAGAACACTTGTGTACAATGTGGTGTTCAATTAAATAGTTGTGATGTGTTCTTTTATGGCAAAATTGTATAGGTGCGTTGGATGGAACT